CTCTGCCGTCCTCCGAGCCCGGTGCTGGCGGAGACCCACAGGCACGCTCCCGGTGACCGACGGCCCGCGAGAGGCGGAGAGCCGTCCCCAAATTCTGGCTGCGATTGTCCGTGTGGTCAGGTTTTGGTTTATTTTATACTTTTTTTTAACCCCACACGTGCTCGGTCTCCTAAGGAGAGAGCAGCCAGCAGTACCGATGGTTTCCATTAACCGAAAGCCCTGCCAGCGTACCATAGCCCTCGGGGATCGCTGCGAGCGTTCAGGGCGCAGCCGGCGTCTCCCATGATTTCGAGGAAAAATAAAAAAGCGTGTTTTATCTCGGCGGGAACCGGCTGTAAATCCCTCGACAAACCGATGCCCGCTTCTCCCGCAGGACCTGCCGGCGCAAGACCCAGCATCGGGCAGCAGAACGAAGTGCGCGTTCTCCGGCTCTGCACCGTCAACAGCGTGGAGGAGAAGATCCTTGCCGCCGCCAAATACAAGCTGAATGTTGATCAGAAGGTTATCCAAGCCGGCATGTTTGACCAGAAATCCTCGAGCCACGAACGAAGAGCCTTCCTCCAGGCTATCTTGGAGCACGAGGAGCAGGACGAGGTAAGGGGCAGCGCAGGCAGCTTCCTCCTACTCCAGAGCGCGGATGGCGAACGTGTGGCTGGCTTTTGCTCCACGGCTCTGTGCGTCCTCGAGGCCAAGGGCGTGGGGGCTAGAAGGAGGAGGAAAAAAAAAAAAAAAAGAGAAATAGGAGCATGAACACTTGTTTCTATTTGAAGTGAATTTTTTTAGCGTCGGCTTTTTAATTTAGTGCTGGTGAAAGGTGCTGGATTGACAACACTGGAGGCTGAAGCCCTCTATTTATCCACAGAACAGATACAGCGCGGGCAGCGGCAGTGGCAGTGCAAGCTTCCCCCACACTGCCTCAACCCTGTGCCTGAACGCTGAGTTGGAGGAACCACCTCTAAAGGTGAGAGGGGTTGTTCAGTCTCCACGCCCATTCAATCCTCGGCCTTGCTGCTGAGACTGCCAACGCACGTGCCAGCTCTTGGACGGTGATCTTTGCACCGTGGATAACCTGTCCGCTAGAAACTGGACTGAGGCCACCCAAAAATGATAAAAAAAAAAAAAAATAAAAACACATCTTTCACGGGCAACCGAACAAGCGTCGGATGGTAACGATGTTCGGTGCTGTGCTCCGAGCGGACGAACTGCCGCCCCGCCTTCTCTCGCCATTGAATCGGGGATTTAAAAATCTTTGCAGGAAGAAGACGAAGTTCCCGACGACGAAACGGTCAACCAGATGATTGCGCGGCACGAAGAGGAGTTTGACCTTTTCATGGTGAGCATGGCACAGGCTGCGGTGGAGGAGTGGTGCCCGCTGTTCTTCCGAGTAGCAGCTAAAACGGTCTCTCTAACAGAAATCAGCTGAGAGTGCTTAACGAAGCCGTGACTCGTTCAACAGGTAAAACAAAACAGTAGAGCAGGGGCTCAAAGTCAGGACCCTTCTGGCTCCGGTAAGGGATGAGCTCGAGGGGGGGCCGAGCCTCAGGCTCCGCTCCGGAGGAGATGGGGCCGGGATGGCGCATGCCCGTCCGCCGGGACCCCTGTCCCTGGGCAAAAAAGCCGTTTCCTCACCCGAAATAGCTCCGGCCTGAGAAAACTGTCGGAGGTGGGACAAGGAAGGAGCGTTTAAACTGGAGGGAAGGCTCGCCGTAACGGCTCCGAGCCTCGTTTGAGGCCTCGAGGTCTCGCTTTTTTGGCAAACGAGGACGGGGCGTTTGCGCGAAACCGGGTGTCTCTCGCCCAGAGCTCGCGTCTGCCCAAAATCGCAGCCCCCTCGGCTCTGCCGGCGCATGTGTAACTTCCATGCCCGCCGCGGCAGCCTGCGGTCCCCAAAGGGCTTTGGTAACAGCAGACTTGCCCGGAGAAGGCTGGTGGAGCGAGGAGAGCTCCCCGGTGCCGGCGGAGCGGTTGGCTTAATGAGGTCCGACCTCCCGCCGCTGCGGCTCTGCCTCCCGGCGCCCGTGCCGCGCTTTCTCCCCGTTTGTGGC